AAAGCAGATGTGAAGCATGATATATGCAATATTGTTTGGTCACAATTTCAAGACATACTCAAAAAAAGAAAGGTAGCAAAATAACAAGCTTCTGTGATATTAACCCAGTTTCACACCAAGCATTATGGGCACTGCCTAACAGTGCCACCAACTCCACCACTGACCTCAGCTCAAGCTTTTTACTGACTGCCCCGATACCTATAGGGGACCAAACAACAACCAAATACCAGTACCCAATACTGTCCTGTTCCCAGCAAACTGTTATTTTAGCTTTTAAGAGCTGTGAACACTATGTGTTGTTGAACAGTCTCCACCCATACAGAAATGCAAGAACCAGTATCTGAAGCAATTTTGTTTCAACATTTCTGCCTCACTGATAGGAATCCAAAGCCAGTGTTTTTCTGTGGAAGCACAGTACTCATTTTTAAGCACATAGGCTTAGTCTCTAAAACATTATGCTCTAGGTGACCCTGCTTGAGCAGGGAGGTTGGACTAGATGATCTCCAGAGGTCCCTTCCAACCTCAACCATTCTGTGTGATTCTGTGATTCTGTTTTCATACATTAATTCCTTCCCATTTAACACTGATTTTTAAGATCTCTGACAGCTTAAGAATTTTCCAGTTCAACTATATTAGCATGAATCAGAAATGACTGCAATTCCATTGAATTCCAATACAGTTGGGCCCTGATATTAAAGATGTACATACATATTTAGGGGAACTTTTTTCACAGCACCTACAGGGCAATGGTACTTAAACAAGAGACGTGCTTAGTTCTAATTGATTTCAATGTATGTTAAGTATGCTGGGTTTCCAGAGGAAACTCCAGGAGAAAAAGGCTCTTGAGGGGTAACAAGGGGAAAGGCATAAAGAGGATGCATTTTGGCTTCAGTACTGGAAAATGATAACAGCAGACAGAGCGATTTTGGAAGCACAATGCACAATGCACAGTGGCAATTCTAGCAGCGTTTTTACAAGCACAGATCCATGTTAGGCACCCAACACTCTTTGACATAAGAGATGAGCAGCAGTTTGTGGAAAAGGACATGAAGGTTTTAGCTGTGACTCGCAAGGTTATGCTAACTGGCAAATGACAGGCAGAATAGTTCACATACAGTGGAAAATACTTTGCTCTTTTTGTCCTGATGAGGCATCCATTGGAATATGGTTTTAATTTGGGGCACTAAAATATCAGAGAAGGCCCAGAAGACAACAACATGAATGATACAATTTTAAGGAAGTATGACCCATGAGGAAATAATCAAAGAATTGCAAGTTTTTAATTTGGTTTAGAAAGGAGAAGCTGGAGAGGAAACACTGATATATCTTCTTGTATGTGGGAAGTTTGTAGAAAGAAGGCAGAGGTCAGTTGTTTGATTGCCCACTGCAAGGGCAGAGTGAATAAAATAGCTTATTTTTCCACGAGGGAGGTATTCCTCAGTTGTTAGGAACGAAGTTAGGGGACGTTTAGCCACTGGAACAAGCTATCCAGGAAGGTTGCTGAATCCTAATCTTTATCCTAAACACATAGCAGGGAAGGACTGAGGAG